TCTCTTTGGGGTCATGGACCTAGTGGCAGTATAACTGGGCCAAAGGGTATGCACAGTTTAATAGCTTTTGGGGCATAGTTCCAAATTGCTTTCCAGAATGCCTGGACCAGTTTCAAATTTTTTTTTTCCTTTTTAAAGTTCACAGACTCTAGGTTGAGAGCCCTTTTTCTAGTCTAAGCCCGTCTCTCCCTCATTTTACAGAAGAGGAAACTGAGTCTTAGAGAAGGGTCTTGTCCAAAGCTACAAAGCCAGGAAGTGATAGATATGGGTGTTGATCTAAGTACGCTAACCCCAAATCCAGTGCTCTTCCCACAAAACCCCTCTACTGTCTAGCGTGGTGCTCCCTGCCAGAAATTGTACCCTGCTGGCATAGCCCTTGAGGACCTTGAGTGACAATAGAAATATTCAAGTAGAAGTCAGTTCTCCATGTTGTAGAAGTGACTTCTCTATTGGAGGGAATTTGGACCAGATAGCCCTATGGTCGCTTGTAACTTTAAGATTCTATTATTCCCTTCTTATTTCAATGTTGAATGTCTATTTTTCTTTTTTCTGGTGGGAAGGTACGAGATGTGTGTTAGACATCTCTGCATCCCCCCTAGCACTTGGCACACGTAGTAAGGGGAAAGAAAAAGGAAAAGTTTATTAAGCACCTACTGTGTGCCAGTCGTTGTGCGAAGTGCTTTACAAATATCTTATTTGAGCCATAGTAGCCCTTAAAATGATGATTTTTGAGTAATTAAAAAAAGAGAAACTTGGGGCACCTTCATGTTCTGACAAAGTATTGGAGGAGGAATTTAATTATCCGGTAGTGGCACAATACTACTAATTCCCATTTCTAACATTTGTCCTCACCTGGAATCCAGCCTCAGAAACTTACTAGTTCTGTGACACTGAGTGAGTCACTCACCTCCCAGGCCTTAATTTCCTCATCTATAAAATGAGGATGTTGGACCGGATAACTTCCGGTGTCCTTTCCTGATCTAACTCTGTGATGCTTGTTGTCTGCTACTGCTTTGACCTTGGGAAAGTAATTTCCCTTTGTGGGCCATGGTTTCCCCCTTTGTTAAATGAGGGGCTTGGGCTAGATAGCCTTCCAGCTCTAAATTGGCTGATTCTGGAAGTTGGATTTGGGCCTGAGTCAGAAGCATTGCTATTCATTTCACTTGCTGTCATATATTCTTTCCCTTTGTTGTCATCAGCTCAAATGCTGCCTCCTCCAAGAAGCCTTTCCTGATTCCCTTAGGATATGCACTAACTCTGTGACTGTGGGTTAGTCATTAACTTCTCAGTGTTTGAGATAACACCCTAAAACCATAACTTGGTGGAGAAGTTGCCAATCTGTAGTGACAGAAGGAGTTTCCTTACTGTTCAAATAGAAGGTTCAAATGGAAAAAGAAAAATAATTCAGTATTTGCAAATAAGGATATTGAAACCCTAGAGTAAGAGATGGGCTTAAGGTCCCACAGAGAGTTAGTAATAGAATTGGGACCAAAACCCGGACACTGAGTGCCGACTGCATGCTAGGCTAGAGTCTGTGCTATAAAGAGGAATATGACACATCCGCTACCCTCAAAAGAGCTTGTGATCTGTTAAAACAATCTGAGAGTCAGGGAAGGTAAGCTTGGAGGGCGGGGAGGTAGCAGCTGCAGCTACTAGTTCTGAGGAGGGCACCAGCATCTTTCCCACTCTGAGGCAGCCAGTAGGTAGCAGATACAAGGAGGGAGACCCCAAGCCTCTGGGCTTGTGTTTACTAAAGACTGGCTCATCATATTGCAGGAGCAAGGCTGTATGTCTTGGAAAGGGGGAGAACAAGAGAAGTGGTGAGGCTGCTTTGTAGCAGAACTGTGTAGTGGAGGTCACAGGGTTCTAGATTTACAAATGAGGAAACTGAGGTCCAGGGAAGGAGAGTGACTTTGCCTAAAGTCATGCCCATTTTAAATAGCTCTAGGATTTAGCCTCAATACAATGCTCTTCACTGAACCTTACTGCTACTCTCAGAGGCTGATGGGGTCTTTCCATATGTGTCTGTATTCATTTCAATTCCATCAATTGAGATTGCTCCAACAAATAACTCTCAAGTGTCTACTATGTGCAAAGCTCTGTAGTACATGCCGGGGAAATAAAAGACAAAAAAGAACAGTCCCTGCCCTCAAGAAGCTTGTACTCTATTGCATTCTAAGCAACATGTAGGCAAATAAGTGGATACAAAACAGATACAAAGTATGTACAATTGGGAGTTTGAACACCTGGGGAATCAGTGCTTATCTTAGCCTGGCACATAGAGGCTTAATAAATGTTTACTGATTGATTGAATCAGCCAGGAGGAAAAGCAAAGATGGTTTTTCTAGGTGGACATTGACATGGCCCTTGGAATAACTGGGCTGGCCTATGTTTATTTTGGGCAGCTAGGTGGCACAGGGATAGAGCACTGAGCTTGGAATCAGGAAGACATCTTTGTGAGTTCAAATCCGGCCTCAGACACTTACTAGCTGTGTGAGCC